CCTTCCTTATGATTTTCTATCTTTCATTTCAAATTTTTGCATTTTCACTATCTATGTTTTTGATTTTACAGCCAGATAATTTCTACCCAGAATCACACTCTAAGCTTCCTCCAGGCAGCAAGAGTGATTAACAGAATTTAAGGAAGCAGTCCAGACAGGCAAAAGCACTCAATGAGGATGTGAAACAAAGTTTGTGAGGGCTGTGTCCTTAGGAGAAGGGTCATGGTTGAGGAAGGGGGTGTCCTGGGGAATAATCTTAGGGACCAGACAGGGAGATCTGGTCCCTAAGTGTGATGGCATGGGATTCCGAGTCTGAGAGCGATCCGGAGGAATCCCAGCCGGCACAGGTGTCCCCGCCTCCAGGGCCGGCTGAACTGGGGCAAGGCCTAGATGCTGAGGAAACTCAAGAGCAGGCACCAGGTGAAATCATTCAGGCCCCAGAGGTGCTGGAAGACTCAGTGGCTACAGGTGAGCCTCCCCCGGGGCCCAGTAACCCTTCGGCCTCTCCTGATCTGCAGAGGCTTAGGGCAGAGAGGCGAAGGGAACTGGTGTCTCCCAGGAGGAGTGCTCGCCTTAAGCCTAAGAGAGGCGGGGCTTCTGGGGGCCAGGACCGCCCCCGGCCTTAGAAGAAGATAAAGGTCAGGCAGCCCGGTCCCAGGTTGCGGGAGCAACGTCGTTGTGGAGTACCTGCTTTACCCAGTCCTTGTTCGGCACTCCCAGTGTTCCTGTTCCTCGCCTGGATTCCTGCTTCTGCCTTACCAGTGTTCCTGTTCCTCGCCTGGACTTCTGCTTCTGCCCTACCAGTGCTCCTGTTATCCCGCCCGGCTCCCTGTCTCGGACCTCGCGTCTCATCTAGTGATCGTCTGCCCTGCTAGAGACTCTGGACTGTTCTTGGGCTACGGTAATAGTGCCTTATTCCCCCTGGGTCCAGCACACTAAGATTATTTCCCAGGACACCCCCCTTCCTCAAGGCTCCCAGGCTTGAGGTTCGTCAGCTGATCCAAGTAGGTCTAGCAGGTAGGCAGGCTATATCACCCACACAGCAAAGGAGGAGGATCCCTAGGAAAATACAATACAGAAATCTAAAGTCTGTCATAAAAGCACCAGGGAGTCTAGCTTCCTCTAAATACAGTCATACCTCGGGTTACAGCCACTTCAGGTTGTGTTTTTTTGGGTTACGGACCGCCAAAACCCGGAAGTACCAGAACGGGTTACTTCCGGGTTTCAGTGGTCATGCATGTGCAGAAGTGCTAAATCGCACTTTGCGCATGTGCAGAAGTGCCAAATTGCAACCCGCACGTGCGCAAACGCACAAACGCGGGTTGCAAACGCTGCGGGTTGCGAACGTGCATCCTGCACGGATCATGTTCACAACCCCTAGCATCCACTGTACAACTGAAACTGAAAGTATTTAAAGACAGACATGCATACATATTAATAGGGCTTCCTCCAGAAAACAGAGAACAATACTCTTTTCCTTCTGCCTATTCTTATGGTTGTGCAACATCACTTGTTGTGCAACTATGGAATAAGTGTCACGGGAACTATGAGAAAAAGTCTCTGATACAAATTGTGACCTTCCTCTTTCAGCAGACCTTCCTCTGTCTGCGTGTACGTATGTGGGAACTATCTTCAACTGCTTTTATATGGAATTAATTTTTAACGGTCATATTGTTTTTATATATGGAATTGTTTTTCATTATTGTATATACAGCACTGTTTTTCATTCTTTTTAACTTGTTTTCTGGTTTTAACTTTTTTATTTGTTGGATAACCGCAGCACAAGGTCTCTCACTTTCTGTCTGCATCATTCTTCAAAGGCTGCTTCTTATTTGGAGGCTGGATAGGCTTCACTGTATGACACGGCTACAAATTATTACTGTGTGTAAGTACCTGTGTGTACCCGTGTTAGATTCAGGCAAAACAAAATGACTACACATTGTCCCCTTAAATATAGCTCGCCCAACAGGTAACTAAATCGTGTGGCTGGGTCGGCTTGCCAAAACAGAAAAGTGCTCAGCAGCTATCTAAAATGATACAGTGAGAGGGTTTCTGTAATGTCAATAGTCGGGGAGTTCCAAAGCTACATTAAAGGGCATCCAGGGCAGCTGTCTACCAGCTCCACCTGGTACGCAGGCTGAGCCCCTACCTGCCAGTGAACTATCTTGCCAGTGGTGCATGCTGTAGTTATCTCCCACTTGGACTACTGCAATGCGCTCTACATGGGGCTACCTTTGAAGGTGACCAGGAAATTGCAATTAATCCAGAATATGGCAGCTAGACTGGTGACTGGGAGTGGCTGCCAGGACCACATAACACCGGTCCTGAGAGACCTGCATTGGCTCCCCGTATGTTTCCGAGCACAATTCAAAGTGTTGGTGCTGACCTTTAAAGCCCTAAAAGGCCTCAGTCCTGTGTACCTGAAGGAGCGTCTTCACCCCCATAGTTCAGCCCGGAAACTGAGATCCAGCGCCGAGGGCCTTCTGGTGGTTCCCTCATTGTGAGGAGTGAGCTTACAGGGAACCAGACAGAGGGCCTTGTCGGTAGTGGCGCCCACCCTTCAGATGTGAAGGAAATAAGCAGCTATCTTATCTTTATCATTTTTAACACTTGATAGGGAGCCGTCCAGAGTGGCTGGGGAAACTCAGTCAGATGGGCGAGGTATAAATAATAAATTATTATTATTATAAAGGAGTAGCTCCATGCTAATGACGAAGAGCCAGCTTGCTGCACTTGCAGCAAGTGAACATTGCGCAGATCTAAGTGGTCAAATCAGCACACCATCTGTTTGTTATTATCCTATGCATCATTTGCCATACAGTAGCATTGTGTAACCCACTGGTGTGTATTGTTTAATGACTCTGTACATGCTGAGTAAGACAGCTGAAGCAGGGAGCAGCCACCACAATGGACAGTTAGCAGGCCTCGTCTTAGCCACACTGAGGTATCTCTTGTGTGTAAGACCCTGAACCTTTAAGAGCAGTTAATGAGGATCACCTCATAGCTTTAAAAGGAGTTTTGAATTTCCCTAGCACTGCAAGTTCCTTCTCTGTTTGTTTTCTCTGTGTTAGAAAGAGCTGTAAGTTTCGGCTTCCTGAGATGTCTGCCATGGAGCTTAGGTGATGTTCTGTCTCCAGCCAGCAGACAGATCGAGCTTCAGGAAGTGGTTTTGTGGTGGCACAACCTGAAAGACAGAACCTGGGGAGAAGGTTGCTCTGTACATAGAACAATAGAATCGTAGAATTGTAGAGCTGAAAGGGACCCAGAGGAACACCTACCGTATTTTTCGCTCCATAAGACACACTTTTTTCCTCCTAAAAAGTAAGGGCAAATGTGAGTGCGTCTTATGGAGTGAATGGTGCTGCGCAGAGAGGGAGAACTGTGCAGCGGCCCTTCAGCGATGTGCCTGTCCTGCGAAGCCAGAGGAGGAACAGAAGGGGCTTCTGTTCCTCCTCCTGCTTGGCTGAAGGGGCGCTGCACAGCTCTCGCTCTCTGCACAGCGCCTCTCCTGCAAAGGATAGGTGCTGCGCAGAGAGGGAGAGCTGCGCAGCACCCCTTCAGCCAAGCACCTCTCCTGGCTTCTGCCTTAGCCATGCGCAGCCTCTTTGGGCAGGGGGAGCCTTCATCCCGCTGCCTGGGAGAGAGGCTGCGCGCGGCTATCCCATAAGCCAGGACAGCAAGCGGGATTGCTGCACAGCAATCCCGCTTGCTGTTCTGGCTTCTGGGATTCAGAATATTTTTTTTCTTGTTTTCCTCCTCCCAAAATTAGGTGCACCTTATGGTCTGGTACATCTTACGGAGTGAAAAATACGGTAGTGCAAGCTCTAGAACAGGAGAAAACAAGTTTGCTCTATCTTCCCTGTAACAGCACGTTACATATTTGAAGATGACTAGCAAATATCCACTCTGTCTACACACGCACATATTAGGGGAAAGTGCACAAAAATGAATATATTATAGAAAACTACATGCAAACATGCTGATGTATTTTCATGATTTTTTTCTAAATCACAAATTGCTGCGGAAATATGGAACACACATTTTTTAATTTTAAACCAAGAGCACCAAAACTGAGCAGTCCTTCCACCTCCATCTCTTAAAAAATATATTTTTAATTATTTCCAAAGGGGAAATTCTGTAAAAGGGGTATATGCAACTTTTTCCCATCTGCAACTTCTCAGCCATTTCTGAGTCACAGAAGTTAATTTGTTAGAAAGGATGTGTAATGTAGCAAAAGCATGCCTCTATGAAGAGGTGTTGGCTCTCATTACAGGACAAATTGGACTGTTGACATGGCTTTGAAGGTGTGGAAGAACAAGGATGCTACTTTTCTGTGGTTAGGCAGAAAAAAGTCCTTGTAGCAGCAACTTAAAGCCACAAAGTGTGTCCTTTCCTAGCAATTTCCCTGTAATTTGCTCAGAACATCCTCCTTCATTTCCTTAATTGAACCTGGTTCCAAAACACACCTCTTCCCAAGGCAGTTCTCGCAAGCAGGGATGGGAGATGCAGAAACTGGCTTTGAGACTGAATAATAGAATTGTAGAGTTGGAAGTGATCCTGAGGATGATTTAGTCCAAAACATTGTGATGAAGGAATCAAATAGCATAGGTGGGGAAGAAAAAGAAAGTAGATGCAAGGACTGGAAGGCTACATTTCATTATGGACGATTATGGGTCTTGTGGGATTTTCAGCTAGACTGCTCCAGCAACACAGGAACTCATCTAATTCTGCCATGTTGGGGCATGGGGAGGGAAATGGAAAATCTTAGTTAAAAAGAAGATTGGAGAGGGTTTCATTAAAGGTTTGCACAATGGTTGACTTTCATAGTGACGTTGAAATCAGTTTCCTCCCCCTCTGCCACGGGGTTTCCAGTTTATTTGTTGCTATTTATGGTGGGTTCCCTTTTCTGCAAATGACCTCACTTCCTCCAGATTGTCTCATAAGGACTTGCACTTTCGTCTGTTGGACAGATGCTCCAACTTTCTCAAGGCACATGTGAATATGCCCACTGGCATCTTTTTGAAAGAAAGAATTCAGGCTGGTCTTTGAGTCATCTCTGGAAGGTTGTGGTTCTAGTCCTCCGTGGAGACAGAGCAGAGTGATTGATCCCCTAGAACACAAGTAAGTTTAGAAAATGTGGCTAGATTTTTTATTTATTTTTTGAAACGCTTAATATAGTGAAATAGTTAGAATTATGATTATTGGTAGACATGAATCCAGAAGTTGAAGCAACTCCCATATGAGGAAAATTACAATGTTTGGGGGCTTTTAAGTTGGTTTTTAGATGTAAACGGGGAATGATCATTTTTTGTGCAGTATGGAGAAAACGCTAGAGAGGAACTGTTCTCCTATCTCATAAAACTAGAACTCATAAGTGCTGGAGCCTGAGAAGATTTAGGGCAGATAACAAAAAGTATTTCTTCATGCTGCACGTAGTCAAGTCAAGAAATTTCCTACCGCAAAATGTGGTGACGGCCACCAATTTGGGTAGCTTTAAAAGTGAACGAGACAAATGCACAGTAGAAAAGGCTATGAATTTCTACAATGATGTGGGGAAGCCTTGCCTGTTTAATGTGGTATCCTACTGCTTTAAATGTATGGTGTGATCGTGGCCTCAGGCAAGTGGAAAACCCAAACTGGGAAAACTCAAAGGCAGACCTTGCGCTGAGAAGGAATAATGGGGTTTGGGTTTATGAAGCACATCTGTTTAAGCTGGGAGAGCAGCTGAGCGTATTTCATGAACCAGTATATTTTACCTTGTTGAGACATCTGCTCTCCATTCACAACACACAGCTGGGCCACCTCCTTGGTGCAATGCAAATCAGGGCCACTGAGTTTATGAATGAATTAAGATCCAACCCAACATGAAGCGACAGCCAACACAACACTGCAATGCAATGCAATGCACAGTTAGAGTTGGGAACTGATACGCATCTTTTTTTTAATTACAAATAAAAAAGAAAACTCTAGACTGTTTTTGTGCTTTGGCAAGAGCTTGAGCTGCAAAAACTTCAACATTGCATCACACATCAAGCTGCCGTTGAAAGATTTCACTGAAGGGGCTGACAAAAGAGCAGTTTAACTACCAACCCACAAAAAAAGAAGTGGTATCTCCAGCTTACTTTAAGACACGCAGAGCTCACGCCTGCTTAGCTCATGCCTATTCCTTGACGGCCATGGAAGGATTCGCCCATGTCATCCCTCCGTTGTGCTCGCCTGATGCTTTGCACTCCAACTCCCAACAGACCCAGCCCCTTGGCCAGTGGTAATGGATGATGGGGGTTGTGATCCTATGGCATCCAGAGGGTACCACATTGACCATCCCTGATCTATCCACTGGGGAACCATTATAGTTCATACTATTCAGGAGACTGAGTGCGTTCCAAGAGAGAGGACAGGCATCTCTGAATGATAGTTTAAGCATTAGAGACAGCTTTCCTCACTTAACGTTCTTATCTCATAATCTCACCCTTCTTTTGCAGAAGCTGAGATGACACCCATGAAGAAGGCCCTTGTCCTTGGAATCTATACCTTCTCCTTCCTGACAGGCTTGCCTTCCAATCTCCTGGCTGGCTACGCATTCCTGAAGAAAGTGAGGCAGAAGCCAGTGCCCATCGACATCTTCTTGTGCAACTTGATCATCTCCGACCTTTTCCTGCTGTGCTTCCTGCCCTTTAAAATGGTGGAGGTTGCCAATGACATGACTTGGCCTCTTCCTGGCTTCCTTTGCCCACTCACCAACTTCTTCTTCTACAGCAGCATCTACCTCAGCACCCTTTTCCTCATGGCGGTCAGTGTGGAACGCTATCTCTGTGTTGCCCATCCGGTCAAGCACAAGCTGAACCGCAAGGCAACCTCTGCAAGAGCAGCCAGCATCTTCTTCTGGTTCCTGGCCTGCTCCCACTGTGCCAGCATTGTCTATGCTGTCGAATACCACAACAGGACCCCGTCAGACCTTAACATCACCACGTGTTACTACAGCTTCTCCCCAGAGCAGCTCCGCATCCTTCTCCCTTTCCGGCTGGAGCTCTGCCTCCTCCTCTTCTGCCTGCCTCTTGCCATCACCCTTTTCTGCTATGTCAACGTGATCTGCATCTTGAGCACCATGCCCAACATCCCTCCCCACAAAAAGAAACGGGCGGTGTGCCTGGCGGTGGCCACGTTGCTCAATTTCGCCATTGCTTTTGCACCATACAACATCTCCCACATTGTGGGCTTCATTAATAAGGAGAGTCCTTCCTGGAGAGTGGAGACTTTCTTCCTCACCTCCCTGAACACCACCTTGGACCCTATCATCTTCTTCTTCTCCTCCCACACCATCCGACGAACCTTCGGCAACTGCTGGTTTGGCATGTGTAGCAAGATCCAGGCTGTTGTGTCGCCCTGCTGTTTGTGTTGCTGCAAGACTCCTGAAGACAACAAAGCAGGAGCTGGACATGTAACTGCTTCAGATCTCCCCAGTGGACTGGCAGGGGCTCCCACCCCTACTCCTTTTACGACTCAGCAAAGATCTGGGTCATCAGATGACTGAGCAGTCTGGAGCAAGCATGCCACACAAGGAAGCAAACCTGGTGCTGAAGCTCACAGGAAGCAGAGAACATTAAAATCCAAACAGCATCCCCATCTATAATCTGCCAGTTGTTCTAGTTTCCCAACGCAAGTTTTCCATCTGAAGCCATGAACTTACCATTTCAACCTGCATTTTGAAATGGAAATTAACATCACCTTGAAAATGGGGAAACTTGGTTGTTTTTGGCTGGCAGGAATATCTCAGTTGTCGTCGTTTGCAAACATCAAGGATGAGACTGCATCTTCCAGTGATTTCCAGGTATTCTACCTCCAGAGTAGGGATGGAGGGAAATCCATTTTAAATGGATTTATAGATGGACTTGGTAGTTCTGACCTGATTGAACTTTTCCTGTGTCAGACTGCCTCTTGCACTGAGAACTCACATGTCTGAGCTGCTTATGTGGTGTCAGTTTTCTTTTTTTAAAAAGCCTGGTTATATGCAAATAGTATGCAGGGGTACAGACATCAGTCTCTGCCAGTACATAGGAGAACTCTCTCCACCCACTGGCCACATTTGCCCCCACCTTGGGTTTACGGTCTAATACCTCCTGGTGGAAGGGATGCAAGTGGTGCTGTGGGTTAAACCTCAGACCCTAGGACTTGCCGATCAAAAGGTCAGTGGTTTGAATCCCCGCGACGAGGTCAGCTCCTGTTGCTCGGTCCCTGCTCCGGCCAACCTATCAATTCGAAAGCACGTCAAAGTGCAAGTAGATAAACAGGTATCTGTTTATCACTCCAGTGGGAAGGTAAATGGCGTTTCCGTGTGCTGCTCTGGTTCGCCAGAAGCGGCTTAGTCATGCTGGCCACATGACCCAAAAGCTGTATGACGGCTCCCTCGGCCAATAAAGCGAGATGAGCGCCGCAACCCCAGAGTCGGCCACGACTGGGCCTAATGGTCAGGGATCCCTTTACCTTTACTTTACCTGTTGGTGGGCTGCCCAGATAAGGGCACTTATAGGCATATGTGCTGGGACCATCCACAATTGCATCCATAATTGGTAAGCTGATAGCTGACAACCAAAAGTTAGATAATAAATAGCACCCCAATTGTTCTCACCTTTGATTACATTCCTCCTGCTTGCAGCCCATCTGGCTATAATTCAGAGCTGGAAGGATGCCTTGGCTTTTACACAGGAGGTGTGGCATAAAAGCGGTCTGTACATTGTTTACTTGGAAAACTCAAAATCACCAAGGGCTCTGCTGCACCGAGAGATTTTGTGACCAAATGGTGGCCTTTTTTGATTTAAATGAATGTGATGGACCACCTTGTTGCAGCCAAGTATGATCTTATTTGGAAGAATCACGGAACTTATTTGGCCCTTTGTCACCTCCCCATGCCCTTTGAACTCTTTTTCTTTTCTTTTCCTGCTTTCCCACCAATATTAGTTACTGCTACCCTTATAATAATGTTGTTTTTTGATGATTTCATGTTTTATATTTTTGTATGGTTGTTTTAATGGTGTACCATTCTTGTCCCTTTAATATGTACCATATAAGTTATATGGATAAAATTTAAAAAATAAAATTAAAAAATACATGTATGAAATGTCAAGCCACAAGTGGCATTATATTTCTGCAGTGGGGTTTTTCTAAATATTAACATTCATTATGCATATAGTTCTATGCAGTGTTGTATGCATTTGTTTATGTGCTGGTTGCTTGAGGAAACCTGCAGTGAATGTGCATGTGGGGATTGTTTTTTAATGAAAGTGATTTAAAAAAAATTCTCAGAAAGAATTTATTGTATTTTTAGTGGACGTGGTAAACAAAAACACCCTTGTTTCTCAAAAGGATCAAGGAGCAAGACAGGAATTGGGGAGGTGGGAGTGTGTGGCTAAATGCAACGTCAATACTTCCAGAAAATTCAATCCCTTGGGACATGATGGCAGATGGAAGATTAATTCACATGGGCACCCACCAGACCTCCTTAGAATCATACTATTGTAGAGTTGGAAGGGACTGTGATGGTCATCTAGTTCAACCCTGACCATGCAAGATCTTTTTGCTCAACGTGGGGCTTGAACCCACCACCCTGAGATTAAGAGTCTCATGCTCTACTACCTGAGCTATCCCATAGGGCCTCATCACTGCCCCATATAAACAGAGTGTGTGCCAGAGAACATCCCAAAACACAAAAAGCTACCTCTGCTCCTGGCTTTTTTAAAATAGAAGCTTTAGCAGGTGCTAATATACACCTCCATGTGTTGGAAAGCTTTCTGCAGACCAATCTAGCACTGTTAAAAGCACAACAGCCAATTTGACCAAGGGCAGCCAGTGATTGTACAGTGGTACCTCGGGTTACATACACTTCAGGTTACATACTTCAGGTTACATACGCTTCAGGTTACAGACTCTGCTAACCCAGAAATAGTGCTTCAGGTTAAGAACTTTGCTTCAGGATGAGAACAGAAATCATGCTCCGGCAGCGTGGCAGCAGCAGGAGGCCCTATTAGCTAAAGTGGTGCTTCAGGTTAAGAACAGTTTCAGGTTAAGTACAGACCTCCAGAACGAATTAAGTACTTAACCCGAGGTACCACTGCACCTGCCTTCTCATGTGACTGCCCAGTGCAAGACTGCAGTGGGCACTTCACATTTCAGAAAGGTTTGTCTGTTTTCTTTCAGGCAAACCCTGGAAATCTTCCCAGAACACAGGGTTGCTTGATCAAATTGCACATCCTTTCCACTCTATTGTTCCTGGGCCTAAGTCAGAATTGGGCTGGCATATGTGGTGCAGTGATTACAGTGCCAAGCAAGAGATCAGGGAAGAAGGTTCAAATCCTACTCACTGAGTGACTTTGCACCAGTTGCTATCTCTCAGGATAACCAATACACAGGGTTGTGAGAATCGCATGGAGTGGGGTAGTCAGGTATGCTGCCTTTCACTCTTAAGATGTTTTCTATATGTGCTGCTATGTCGTGATATTTTTGTATAGAAGGGATTTTATTATTTGACTCGGTATTGTATTTTGTAAAAAAATTTTTAGCTTCTGTTGTATTTGTTACCTTTCTCTAAACCAATAGGAGACTGTTTTGGTGTTAAGTAGCATAGAAGCATATGAAATAAAATAAAGGAATAAAAATGTTGCGTTCATTTTATTTATAAAAATGCTTGTATACTGCAATTTCATGGTTTACAACGCGTGTGTTTGTGTGTGTGGTGAAAACCACCTAAACATTCAAACTGTCAGCTAACTTTCACAGAACATGTTTTCTTAATTGCCTGCATAAGCCTGGCAGCATAGAAAAGTTTTCATTAAATGGTGGAAAGTTAAAAGGAAGACGCTCCATCAGCAGAGCATTCCACAGAACTGGAGTTGATGGCACTAAAGGTTTGGTTTTGTGTCAATGTCAAATTATCCTCACCAACTCAGGGAATGACCGAAACTCCTGCAGATGATCTTAGTGATCATAAAATCAAAGAATCATAGAGTTGGAAGGGGTCTTGGGGGGTCATGTACTCCAAACTCCTGCAATGCATTGATGAAAAGTGGCCATCCAACCTCTGCTTAAAAACCTCAAATGAAGAAGAGTTCACCAGCTCCTGAGGGAGATCATTCCACCATCAAACAGCTCTTACTGTCATAAAGTTCTTCCTGATGTTTAGTCAGATTCTTGCACTTGGATCACACTGGGATATAAGGGTCCAGGCAGTCCTTTGGTACCCTGGACTTCAGTTGGTCAAAGTTTTGTAAATTAATTCAAAGACCTTGAAGTATGGCTTGATAGACCTGGGCATGAATAAGCGCCCTCCCATCATTTGCCTATTTGAAGATAGTTACAAAATCTAGCTATCCCAAGGCAATGAGAGGAGGTACAGGAGCTGACCTTGAGAATGGGGAAGAGAAGTTAACCAGCTGCAAGGGCTAGAGGTAAGAGAAGAAATTCGCATTCGTTCTAGTTTTATTATAAACCTACGCAATTCATATTTCCCAAACCATTGACTTCAGATTTACATCTATGTTTGTTCACTGTGTGTGTGATATTCATTTAAAATAAAGGTGTATGCACAGAGTCGCGAACTACATACACCCCCATTCTGACATTGAATTAGGATTTGCCAGACAAACATGCAAAAGCAAATTTGCAAATTACCATTTACCAGGTTGCCTGTGGTGAGCAAAGATTGACTCTAGGTCACTAGACAGTAAAATGTTTGTAAAAAACACACAAAATAGCTTATAGGCGAGAGAGTGTTGCTGTGTTGCTGTGCTACAGATGACTAGCAGTACTTAAAACAGTGGAGTTTTTATTCCTTTCCCCCCTATCAGATGTTGTTTTTGTGCTAATTTCTACGTCACATGCTTACTGAAGAGGTAAGATTTGTCACGCAGCCCTCCTTGATTCTTCCTCCTCTGATGGAGCTAGCAAGGAAGGTACATCGAAATGGGCACACATCTACTCTTCGGACATGTGCACTACATGTCGTTGTTTGATGAACACATGAGGGTACATCACATTCCCAACACTGCTCCAGGGCTTTGTTTGTGCCATGGCTGGCCACAGCTTTGCCCTGGACATGTCTTTTCCATGCCAAGTTTCAACCCTAGATAATGCCAGATAAGAATTTGGACAGCTCCTTTGGAAAGAAGCAGAGTGCATTGTTTCAACGGGGACGCGGATGGTACTGTGGTCTACACCACTGAGCCTCTTGGGCTTGCCAATTAAAAGGTTGAGGGTTCAAATCCCCACAACAGGGTGAGCTCCCATTGCTCTGTCCCAGCCGCTGCTAACCTAGCAGTTCGAAAGCGCACCAGTGCAAGTAGATAAATAGGTACCATTACAGTGGGAAGGTAAATGGTGTCATGACCAGAAGTCATGCTGGCTACATGGCCCAGAAAGTTGTGGACAAACGTTGGCTCCCTCGGCTTGAAAGCGAGATGAGCGCTGCAACCCCATAGTTCCCTTTGAATGGACTTAACCATCCAGGGGTCCTTTACCTTTTTACCTATTGTTTCAACTCTTGAGCGGCTACAGGAAGTCCCCAGTCGAGACATCAGCAACCAGCAGAAGGAGTTTTTTAAAGACAACAACAACAACAATGCTGAAATACTGTTGCGTTTGTTTGATTGATTGATTGATTGATTGATTGATTGTTGCATTTATATCCCATATTTTTTTCCAAGGACCTCAAGGTAGTGTACATTATCCCCCCCCTCCTTATTTAACCCTCACAACAATCCTGTGAGGGAGGTTCTGCTAAAAGGCAGTAACTGGCCCAAGGTCACCCAGTGAGCTTAATGGCCAAGTGGCGATTTGAGCCCTGGTCTCTTACCTCTCTAACCACAGCACAGCACTACCCTGAATATATTTTTGCTCCCCCGGGCTTTCCCAGTGGGGGTTTCAGTTTTGTTTTAACAATATTTGTTGGTTTTGTGTTTTTAACAGTTTTTATTATTTTATGTCTTGAGATTGCGGTTTATAACGTGATTAATAAACTAATGGTATTATTACGACATACCTCTCCCACCTTTCCTCCAAGAAGTGCAAAGGGGCCTACATGGTTTCTCCCTGTCTTCGATTTACCTTCACGACAGCCCTGTGGCGTAGGCTAGGCTGAGAGCTTCATAACTGAGTGGGAATTTGAATTCTGGT